TCCCTCAATACCCATTTCAAATAAAAACGAAAAACCAAAATGCAGCCCTTGGACCCCCAATGAAGCTTAAGTCTTTCATAATACCAAACAGGAGACATTTGGGCCAGAATTTAATCACTATGATGCTTTTTAAAGGATAAAAGGGTCAAGCAAACATACTGCACCATCCTGCTTGCCCAATACTTCAAGAGCAGGAAATGATTTTACTCAGAAATAGGACTGATGTTGGCACTAGATGCAGTATTAGTATTAAAGATGCTCTGAAAATGTCACTGATACATGTCTGTATAGCTCCAAAGCTTGTATCTTCCACCAGCAGAAGTTGGTTTAATAAAAGATACCATTTTACCTACCCTGTCTTATTGATGCAAACAGCAAGTTTTAGAGAAAAATCCCTGTGGGAGTAAAAAACAGATTTCTGGCTTTGTAATCACACATTCCACCACTGATCTCAAATTCAAATGTTCTAAATAGTAAATATATTACTTTTGTTTAATATAAACTTCCGCTATATTTTCTAATAAAGTTGGAAAATAAAATTATGCTGATTAGTCTTAAAGAGAAACATGTTTTTTGAGGTTTCTAAATTATCCTAAGAAAGTCTTAATGGATTAACTGCCTGATTAAAATGTGGTCAAATTTCCTAAAGGATTTTACAAAGCTACCTTTGGTACTTTGCTCAGTCATTCTGTTTGTTGATTCTTGTACATCTATTTGGATGAATGATGTTCTCTAAAGATCCCATTTCTCATTCTAACAGCATACAGTAAAGATAATTCTTGCAGAAAATCCACCTTTTCGCCATCAGACCAACACCCTGTACACACCAATGACAACCCTGAAATACGCAGATCCAAATGGAGATCTACCTATTGATACCTTCTACAAAATGGTTTTTCAGCATGATAAAATCTTCAGTGCAAGTCTTAACTTCATCAAACTGCTAAGGTGGAGAAGCAGAAAAAGCTTTGATTTGGGAAACCCTTCACAATGAATATATGTATGCTATTGTGTGCATCTGGATCACTGGTTCTAGTCACTGCTGACATATTGTTTTGAAAAATATCTTTTCAATATAACTGATTACAAAAAGACATTCAAAATGTTTGGTTAGTGAGCTTAATTGAGGTATTAATGTTGATTAACTTTTATTTTGAACTTCAAGTTTCCAGTGCTTTGAAAGTAAACTGTTTCACCCACGTCAGTTATTGTCAGTAATCTTGGCCATATATTCTATTTCCAGAGTTGATCCTGGTAGAAATGTATGACCACTATTTTTTCTGAACATCAACAAATCCATTATCAAACAGCTCCCTTCAGCATTTATTAGAATTAAAAAGAAAAGATACTAAGATTAGTACTATGTGTATATCTTATTTGTAGAAAACCTGATTTGTTAGTATTGTAAAACATATTGAATTGCTTTGCTCATGTTCTAGTGATTTTTAAATCACTTAACACCTTATTCTATAGTGCTATACTTCTAATTAAAAGGATTAGAATAAACTACTTGTTAGAAACCTAAGAAGTGCAAGCATTTTTATAGTTTTTAAAATGTATTTAATATGTATATCCATATTTTAGGCATCTTCTAGTCAACTTCTATGATAGTGGTGAATGGCTTATGATAATTTCTATGCTTTCTTAGGGAACACAAATCAATATACTCAAAATTTTCAAACCCGAGGGCCTAAAGCTAGGCCCCTAAATCCAGATTTAGACATCTAGATAGAAGAGATCTGATTTTCAGAGGCGCTGTGCACCTGCAGCTCCCACTGAAGTCAGTGTGAGTTACATGTGTTCAGCACCTTTGAAAATCAGAGCACTATCTAAATCAGTGGTGGGCACCCTGCAGCCCATCAGGGTAATCCGCTGGCAGGCTGCCAGACAGTTTGTTTACATTTGCATGGCCGCCCACAACTCCAAGTGACCGCGGTTCACTGTTCCTGGCCAATGGGAGCTGTGTGAAGCAGTGGCCAACACATCCCTGTGGCCCGCACTGCTTCACGCACCTCCCATTGGCCGGGAACGGTGAACCACGGCCACTGGGAGCTGCGGGTGGCCATACAAATGTAAACAAACTGTCTGGTGGCCCGCCAGTGGATTACCCTGATGGGCTGCGTGCGGCCTGTGGGCCACAGGTTGCCCACCACTGATCTAAATGTCAAAAGGTGGATTTAAGACACTGGCTTTAGGCACCCACATTTGAAAATTTCATAGGAGTTGACTAGACATCTAAATGTCTTTAGGCTTTCAGGTTTGAAAATGTTGGCTTGTAGCTCCACTTCATTTACAGCTATGTTTGAGTGTCTGAAGCATGGGTGTTTGTATGTATGTATGTACATAGATGTACCAGTAGCTTTGATAAGGTTGGCACTGTTCTTGGGAATAGGATTTGCTGACTGTGCTATATAACATGCTTTGGTTATACATAGTGGGATTTTTTAAAATATCTTAGCTACACAGCATTTTTTTTTAATATTTAGAATTCAAAGAATATTTGTCATCAAACAGAATAATTTTAAAGCTAAATCAAAGTTTAAACTGAATGCAATAGTATTCCTTTAAATTTCATGTTGCTTTACTGAAATGGGTATGAAAAATTTGGTTTGCACATAACAGAATCAATTAATCATAACAGAATTTAAACATACAAATTACATATTTAAGATCAAGAAATGCTATTATAACACTTGCTTTTTATAAGGTCCTGCTTTTTTGAAGAACTTTAACTATATAAACAAAGTCAAAAACCGAACATAAGAATGGCCATACAAGGTCAGACCAATAGTCCATATAGCCCCGTATCTTACCTCTGACAGTGGCCAGTGCCAGATGGGGCGATTATTGACTGATCCATCCTCTATCGTCCAGTCATAGCTTCTGGCAGTTGGAGGTGTAGGGTTGCATCCCTGACTATCTTGGCTAACAGCCGTTGATGGACCTGTCCTCCATGAACGTATCTTTTTTTTTTTTTTTTAAGCCAGTTATGCTTTTGACAGTCACAACATCCCATGGCAACAAGTACCACAAGGTTGTGTGAAGTAGTACTTCCTTTTGTTTGTTTTAAACCTACTGCCTATTAATTTCATGAGGTGACACCTAGTTCTTGTTTTAGGTGATGGGGTAAATAACACTTACTTTCTCCATACCATTTATGATTTTATAGACCTCTATCATAGTACCCCTTAGTTGCCTCTTTTCTTAGCTGAGCAGTGCAGGTCGTTTTAATCTCCTCATGGAAGCTGCTCCACACCCCTAATCATTCTCATTGCCCTTCCCTGCACTTTTTCCAATTTTAATCTCTCTTGAGTAACTTTGTATCATCTGCAAATTTTGACACCTTACTAGTCATCCTTTTTTCCAGATCATTTATGAGTATGTTGAACAGCACAGGTCCCAGTACAGATACTTGAGGGACCCTGCTATTTACCTCTCTCCATTGTGAAAATATTTATTCCTACCGTTTCCTAGCTTACATAACGGTTGCTGATTTATGACAGGACCTACTGTCTTATCCTGTGACTGCTTAGTTTGCTTAAGATCCTTTAGTGAGGAATCTTGGACTTTCAGAAAGCTTTTGACAAGTACACTATATCCACATGCCTGCTGACTCACTCAAAAAATTCTAATAGCTTGGTACACCTATTCAACTATTCTAATAGTTTGAAGCATGCTTTCACTTTAAAAAAGCCATACTGACTTTTCCCCAACTATATCTAATAATTTTATTATAGTTTAAATTAATTTGCCTGGTAATGAAGTAAGCTGTAATTGCCCTCTAATTGCCAGGAGCAGCTCTGGAGCCTTTTTTAAAAACAGGCATTATGCTAGCTACCCTCTCACACACAAGCAAATTTAAACAGTAGGTTAATATATAACAATTAGTAGTTCTACAACTTAATATGAGCTACTTCTGAATTCTTGGGTGAATACCATCTGGCCTGGTGCCTTATTACTGTTTGTTTAATCAATTTCAATTTGGAACAGTTCCTCAGATTTGTCCCCTAAAAAGAATGGCTCGGATGTGGCTCTCCCCCATATCCTCTGCAGTGAAGACTGATGCAAAGAATTCATTTAGCTTCTCTGCAAAAACCTCATCCTGAGTGCTCCATTAGCACCTCAATTATCCAGTGCCACCACTGACTGTTTGGCAGGCTTCCTGCTTCTGATGTCCTTAAAAAACAATTTTTTGCTAGTTTTTGTGTCCTTAACTAGTTGCTCTTCAAAGTCTTTCTTGGCCTGCCCTATTATAGTTTTACACTTGACTTACCAGTTTCTATTTTCCTCACAAAGATTGGGCTTCTAATTTTTAAAGACTGTATTTTTTAATCTAACTGCTTCTTTTACTCTGCTGTTTGACCATTGTTGAATTTTTTGGGCTAAGGTATGCATTTAGTTTGAGATGCTATTATGGTGTTTTTAAATAGCCTCCATGCAGTTTGCAGGCATTTCATCCTTGTGCCTGTTCTTTTTTATTTCCAATTAACTAGCTTCCTCATTTTTGTGTAGTTCCCCTTTTTGAAGTTAAATGCTACTGTGGTGACTTTCTTTGGTATTTTTTCCCCTACAACAGTGTTAAATTGTATTACATTTCAGCTATATTCACCTCTTGAACCAGATCCTGTATTTCACTTAGGACTAAATCAAGAATTCCCTCTCTCCTTGTCGGGTCCAGAAAAAGCAGCTCCAAGAAATTGCTGAAATATTCTATGCTAAGTATTGTTGCACTGATGTTCACACAATTACTTCTGATACTTGGCAAGATTATAGGGAAAAAAACATTAAATGATTCTAGTATGCACACACATGTATCACATTCATTCTGGGGAGAGGTCGGAATTTTATTTTTAATTATGGTTTTTACCCAGCCTATACGTTTAGGACTAAGTACTCCCCCAAAATCCACAGCTCTCCCACCTATGTCAATGGGTAGTTTGCATAGTGCTCATGAGGGGAATGTGGCCTTTATCTAATAACTGAATTTATTTATTCTGTACCTAATTATTACATTCAGCATCATCCAGTGGGGCAAACGTTCACCTTGAAGACCACTATTACTTCTGCCCTTCATTTCTTTCTTCCCTGTCTTCATTTTTGTTTCTTTCCCCCTTTAATGTTTTTGTCACTCCTCTGTTTTTTCTTCATTTCCTTTCCTCCATCAACTCCTGGTTCCCAACCCCTCTTGGAGGGTGTAAGACATCTGGAATAGATTCCCTACCTCTATGTGACCATGCTGCTACATCTGTGAAATATATGGGAGAAAAAAGTGTCACTTTGTCCACAAGATGCTCCTATTATTAGATTACTCAATAAAATGTAACATAAAGAGATCCAGAAATTGCCATCTTATTCAGCTTTCTGAAGTCGACATATCATTTATCTAACGTAGAATACTCTGCAACTTGATGGCTAAAAATTGTCTTAAAGATGGGTCAAACTGTACTAGCACTGGCTGAAAAGCTTTATAAAGACAACTGCAAAATGTCTCGGAAATGCATTTAGAAATCTAGGTATACTGTAGTACCTGCTGATGACCACCAAAAGGTCTACAGTTAAGGGCTTGTTAGCTGGGGAGTTATTGCAGAATAGTCATTTCTGATTAACTATTTATAAGCAATACATCAGATATTACAGGCTGAGAAACTCTCTCCTATTTGCTGAAATAGTAGACCTAAAATATGGAATTGCTGATGGTATCACATTGGGAATAAAAATAAATGTTGGAGCTGTGGGACTAAAAGCAGAACTCCAATCAAACCACTGGCTTAAATTTAGATTGTGCAGCAGTGTGAGTTAAGTCAAATAACCCTAACTTAGACATGATATACTGTGTGCTACTGTCTGTGTGCTACATCAGAATACAACTTTGAAACTACTAGTATAGATATCAAAATGGGTTATTTTTAAGATGATTTATTTTGAAATTTGTAAATCCTGAAAAACTATGGTAAAATCAAGGTCTTGTTGATGCCTATAAAGTACTCAAAACTATTCTGAAGGTATCGACCGTGTACACTGGGCTCCTAGTCAGGTCACAACGCTCAATGCAACGAAAACAAATGATCAGGCCTTGTCATCCATTGGGGACGCACTGCAGACGGTGAAGTAGGGCCTGCTGGAGCCCGAGCTAGGGGCACTGTTAAGGAGTAAAGGTGTGCCCCCCACTAGGAAAAAAGATGGGTTTTAGCACGTGTTAGCTCACATGGAAGTAGTAACTAACAGAACAGAATCCACATGCAGACAAGGCAGCGGTTGTTCTTGCTCATGCGTGTTAAACTACCCCGCCTGGTGCACAGGGGCCTTCAGCACGTCTGGTCCACCACATTAAAACCCACCTTTGCTGCTAGAGAAGAAAGACCCCAGAGGTAACACAGCCGCACAGGGCGCATCGCGCCGTCTGCACGCGTGGGCGCCGCCGCCGCCCCCGCCTTGCCCCGGGCGGCGCACACAGCAGCGCCACGAGGCTACTGAGCACGTGGGTCCAGCCTTGCCCCTTTCCTCCGCCACCGTCCGCCCGGTGCTGCCCCACTTCAGCTTCCGGAGCCCGGCTAGGGGCGGGGGGACCGCGGAGCGGAGCGGTGTGCCCCAGGGTGGGCGCGGGGCTTGCGCCAGAGCTCTTTCCGGGGGATGGGGTCCCGGAAGCGGAAGTGTCCGAGGACGGCTTCCGGCGGAAGTGGCGCTGGTCGTTGGCTGTGCTCCTCGCTGGCTCGTTTCCTTCTCCCGGCCGCCCTCGGTTCCGAGGGAACGGCCGCCGCTGGGTGAGTGCGGAGCCGGAGCCGGAGCCGGAGCCGAGCCGTGCGCGGGCTTTTCGGACGGCTTCCTGCGGCTCCCGTTCACAAGGCGGCGGCCGGCATGGCACGAATACCCGGCGGCGGTGCGTGAAGGATGTGGCAGAGGCTGTAGCCGAGGGAGCCCTGAACTCCGGGCAGCGCCTCCCGCGGCTGCTCCCAAGCTGCTGGCACCGGCTCAGGGGAGCTGGCAGCGGGCCCCGCGCCGGCCCCCGCTAGCGCTCTCCCGCCTTCGGGCGTGAATCTGATCCCTCCCTTTCTCCCCCAGCGCGCGGTCCCCTCAGCACCCGCCCCGCACCCAGCGTCCTCCCGCCCGCAGACTCACGGCACCTGCTCTCATCCCCTGCTTGGACCTGCCCCGGCAACACCGCCTCGGGACTCCCTGAGCAGCGGGTCTCTGGTGCTCTGCGTGTCTTGCTCTGGGTCTGAAGATTTGAGTTCAAAGAGTCTCGGAGAGTGTGTGTGAAATATAATGGCTTCGTCGTCTGGAAACGACGACGACCTCACCATCCCAAGAGCTGCTATTAACAAAATGATCAAAGAAACTCTCCCCAATGTCCGGGTGGCTAATGATGCCCGGGAGCTGGTGGTGAACTGCTGCACTGAATTCATCCACCTCATCTCCTCGGAGGCCAATGAGATCTGTAATAAGTCTGAGAAGAAAACCATCTCCCCAGAGCATGTCATACAAGGTGAGTTCCTCGGGGGCAGTCATCTGGTAGATGACAGACCATTTCGTTTAATGCAGTGCTGTTGTAGCCATGTCGATCTCGGGATAATGGAGAAACAGGATGGGTGAGATAATTTTATTTAGTTGACCAGCTGGTGGTGGTGAGAGAGGTAAGCTTTCCAACAATACAGAGCTCTTCTTCAGGTCTAGGACCCTACAACTGACTTCTCCAAAAGTACTGGCAGAAAAAGTCAATATTTTAAAGAATATGAGTAAGGTTATTTGTTGCCTTGCATTGCAAGAGGGAGGCTACTTTTGTGGTGAAGGGGGCAGGAGTTTTCAGTTCCTCCCCTTGTTCTTTTCCTGTGTGACTTTGCGTGAGTCACTTATACTTCTGTGCTTCAGAAAAGAGAACTATCTCTCAGGGTGGTTGTGCAGATTACTTCCCTGTTTGTTACAGAAATAAAATAAAATATTAATTACTTGCAAACCAGAGGCTGACACTGTATAACAGATGGGGATGGGAGGTGGGCTTTACAAGAGAGTTCCAGGCTCTTGCCCCGATGATCCCTAACCAATCCCCCAGCTGATGTAAAAAGAAAGATACTGGGATTCCTACCATACTGTCCCTGGACTTTCTTTGTGGCTTCATCTTTTGTATCAGTTCTACTGTAATAAGTGGGTACACTTAAAAATATGCTGTTGCACCCTATTCTGGCAGTTGGCTCCCACCTTCTATGGCTGCAGGGTGGAAAAGTTTTCTGATTCTTCTTTTGTTCTCTCTCGAATCTCGGAGCCTCCTGATTTTTGTGAGTATCTGCTGTTCTAGTCTTCTCCAGCCTGCATTTTTTTGAGTTTGTTCATTATGAATAGAACCAGTGCCTGCTACTGCTGCTCATAGCTTTCTCAAGCAGTAACAAAATGAAACTAATGACTAGTAACTGTGGGTTACTTCCACAGCTGCTTTTGAAAGCCACATGGGCTGCTCCGATCAAGAATCATGTTAATTTTACTCAGATACTTGAGAAAGCTACCACAATTCTTGACAGTTTCATTGCTGCCCACAAAGTTGTGAATTAAGGTAGTAGTGAAAGTGATCAGAGTTTTGGTTTTACTCAGCTACTTGGCAAGTCAGTGAATAGTGGCATAAGCAGTAGAACTTCAGGCTCAGGAAAACAATCCAGTATTGGTTTGTATCAGTTCACATGGAAAGTTGTTTTTGAAACTATAAGTACTAAATGCTCAATTAATTAGATTCTGCAGACTATGATGGGGTATGATAACTCCACTTAACAGAAAAAGTTTCCTGTTTGCAATATAGAAGTGAATTTTTCAAGCTTTGATTATGATGACTTATAATAAAGAGCAATATAAGAAAATATGAACCATATATCAACTTTTGTTATAGTTAACATTTTAAGAAAATGGTACCTTGCAGTAAAATTGATTCTTAAAAATCCTCTCAAACTCAGACTTTAAAAAGTAAAACCCAGACTTGCATTGTGAATGAAATTTTGTGCTGGTTAAATACATAAAGTTGCCACCAAAAGTATCAGTACAAGTTTTTAGGTTAATAGAGATTATCTCAAAAGAAAAGTAGAACAAAGTTATATTGGAAACCCAGTGTTAGTGGGAAGAAATAATTTAGTGATGAAAGACTGGTTGCCTATGATAAATGATTCTAAATGCAGATTTCACTTAACACTATCCTGATTCGTCCAGTGGATTATTTTTCATAATGCGGATTAAGAAAATTTGTATGTGGTTGGAAGCTGAAGTGAAATGATTACCACATACATACTGTATCTGCAGCATGTTGTCTACTAACAAATATTTTGTCAAGTTATAATTGCTAGTGTGTTCAAAGTTCTAACTTTTGATATAAAGCTCTTCTTGAAATTTTGTTAAATGAATGTTGATGTTTACCCATTTATATGGTCAAATGTGATAGGGAGGATGTTATAGTCATAAAATTTTATATTCTGCATCTACCTTCATTGCTATCCTCATTATCCTTCAGAAATACATATGGTACTAATTCCTTCCTAACCTGTCAGGTGATTCCTTGAAGCATGAGGGTTAATATTACTATTTTAAAGAAAATTATTTAAGATGTATGTGGTACATATAATTTAAATATTTCTATCCCATTCTGTATTGTAAAACTTATTTTGCTTTTTTGACTACTATCTTTAAGTTGTCTACAATGACTGACTTTTTGTCAAAAGCTTCCTGAAAGTTCAAATACATTTCAGTAAGTTCTTCTTTGCCTACTATTTTATCAACATACTAAAGGAAATATTTCATTGATATGCTCAAATTTTTAGTAAGTAAGCTGCAGTTTGCTCTTTCTGTCATAGTCATCTAGATTTTTATAATCACTTAAACCAGTTTACTTGGTACATAAATGAGGCTTACTGGTTGATTATTCCCAGGATCACCCCTACTTGTTCAAAATTTGCTACTCTCCAGAGCACCAGTATAGCAGCTAATCTTAATGAGAGATTGTATCTCTTTATTGGCAGCTCAGCCACTTCATTCATTCTTTCAGATATCATGGTCCATACTATATGGCTCTTGTTCCTGCACTACCTTTTTTGACACATCAGTATGTCAGTTGAATACCTGAAAAGAGTAGGTCTAGGGTAGGTATCACCAACATTCTTTGTGGGGAAAAATTGGAAAAAAAGAAATAATTTAGCTTCTCTATTTTTGTGTGTGTGTGTGTTTTTTTTTTTTAAATCCAAATTGCTATATGCTATTTTAGAAGATCACCATTTCTTCTGTAACCTTTCTGGTTCATATATATTTAAATAATTCCTTGTAGCTTTTTTTATGACTTTGACTATTTGCTCTTCAAAATCCCTTATACCCTACTAATTTTCCCTGCCATAGTTCATACTTTCTTTCTGTTGGCTTCGCTGGAGTTAGATTGGCATTTTCTCAAAAGATACCTATTTGGTTCAAGAGTAACAAACGTGTTAGTCTGTATTCGCAAAAAGAAAAGGAGTACTTGGGGCACCTTAGAGACTAACCAGTTTATTTGAGCATAAGCTTTCATGAGCATAAGCTTTCGTGATGCATCCGATGAAGTGAGCTGTAGCTCATGAAAGCTTATGCTCAAATAAATTGGTTAGTTGCTAAGGAGTGCCCACAAGTACTCCTTTTCTATTTGGTTCAGATGTTAGTTGTAATTGAACTGTTTTTTTGTTTAGGTCCTTTCTGTTTAGATGTCTGTGACTTTGTTATGGTATGTTTTAAGTGGCCTCCATTGAGTCTAAGGATTCTGATATATTTACTTTCAATTTTAATGTCTTTTTAATTAGTTTCCTTCTCTTTTTGAAGTCTCCTTTCTGAAGTTTAATGGAACACTACTAGATTTTGGTATGATTTCTTGCCCAAGCAAATTTAATCTGTTTCCTTCAATTAATGGAAGTTCTGATTTTAGTTTTTAAAGTAAGATCCTGCAACTGCAGCGGTTCTCAAACTGTGGGTTGGGACCCCAAATTGGGTCACGACCCCATTTTAATGGGGCCACCAGGGCTGGCTTAGACTTGCTGGCGCCTGGGGCTGAAGCCTGAGCCCCACCATGCGTGGCTGAAGCCAAAGCCCAAGGCCTTCGGCCCTGGGAAGTGGGGCTCAGGTTACAGGCCCCCTGCCTGGGGCTGAAGCCCTTGGGCTTTGGGCCCCCCGCGTGGAGCTCAGGTGGACTCCGGCTTTAGTCCCCCAGCCGCTGGAGTCATGTAGTAGTTTTTGTTTTGAGAAGGGGGTCAAGGTGCAAGGAAGTTTGAGAACCGCTGTGCAACTGGATCTATGTGGGCTGATCCCTGTAGTTGCTCAGAGCCCCCTGAAGTCAGTGGCAGATGTGCTATTTGCTTTACACACTATTGTACTCAATATTGACAGTATAATCTCTCTTAATTTCAATATGCTGTGGTAAAATTCTGTTGTTTTGCTGAATAACAGGGTACGTTCAAAAGTATTCAAGTCTCTACCTATCCTAGAAAAAACACTTATTTGGAAGATTTCATCATTGTATTTCTTATTCTAAATAATGCATTGCATAGGTAGTATGTAAAATGCAAGCCTACCCATGATAATGTATTCCTTATTGTATTTCTTTAGATTTAATAAAATACTTAAGACTGGAACATTCTGTACATTGGTTAAAATACAA